CAAAATACATATTGGTTCATATCAAGAATTCGGATTCAACGAATGGTCATGCTTATCATAACAAGGATAATAATCACCATATATATTATCAAGAAGCATGATCCAATTCATATTAACAAATCAAATATTTATAATATTTCTCATGCATATGGAAAATTATCCACTCACCTGACTCGAAAGCAAACAGAAATCAAAAGCAAACACCGAAGAAAATCCTACTGACGTCCTGCCGGTAGAATATCAGGATTATCTGAATACAAAGGAGACATATTCAAGAATGACTCAAAAGAATATATAACCTATTTAATACACTTATTTAAGTATATATTCCATAACCCTATATATTTTTGAACTAATTAGTTATATTCCAAAAACCCAAAAATTAACGGTTTTCTCAAAATCTAATCCATAATAAAACAAATAATAAAATTGGTAATACTTCACTAACTAACCCATCTGCAAAATCTAATATTACAGCTAGGGACTAATCTGTAATTTATTATATTTTTAAGGGTCAAATTGTAACTTAATCCATTTGGAGGACCAAACTAAACTTATCATAAATCCATGAATATACTGAAATTCTGACCATAACCAATCCTCATTTCTGTCCAGATCATCTCATTATACTCCAGGGACCATTCTGGAATTTTATCAAATTTTTAGGGTTAAATGGTAATTTTTGTCAAATTGAAGGACCAAATTGAAAGTGTTAAAATTTCATAACTATACAGGAATTCTGCCCATAATTTATCTTTTATTCTGTTCAGAATCTCGGAATATGCCCCAGGGACCAATCTGTAAATTTTTCAAAGTTTGGGGACTAAACTGTAATTTCCACAAATTGAAGGACCAAAATGAATTTTCGTCATCTTCAACCTCCAACCCAGAATTTCAACAGAAACCCACTGTTCTTTCCTTATTTCTAACATAATTTCACCATTCAAACAAAATCATAACTCAAAATCATCATCTTTCAATTCAATCTCTCAAAATCCACCAAATAATCCATTACCCATAACAATCAACCCATAAAATTCAATTAATTCATCAATCAAACCCAAAACACAAATTTTCAAAACCCTAACATTTATCAAAACCAAAATTAAAACTTAATCAACACATATTTATATATAATTTTACCTTTAAACTTATTTTCTTCAATCCCTATCTATTTTTCTTCTAATTTCTCTCTTTTCTCTTCTTCTTCTTTTTCCCCTCTCTCTCCTGCCGATTCTCTCTCAAATTTCAGATCACTTATTTTTTTTTTTTTTACTTCGTATTTATATTTATCAAGTTTTTTTGAATTACTACACTACCCCTCATTCATTTATACCCACACTTTAAGCCACCAAGGATTTTATTGTATTTTCCTACTTATTTATTCAAAACATTACAAGAACTGTTTCTACTCAACATGGGCAGCACCTCTCCGTTCTCTGTTCTTCCTCTCTACCGCAGCAACAGCCAAGGTAGCTTCCTGCATAGAAGCGGAAAGGAAATTATTGAGAGTGATGAAACCCTTACATTTGCAAAGTGAATATAAGTAGACTTCAAAGCTGTTGAAATAGGCAAAAAAATAAAATTTTTGCCTCTGTCATCCATCCAGCCCAACTGACCTCATTAGCTTTCTTTGAGTACCTTTCAATGGATTTAAACTAGACCCACCAAAACTTAATACCTTGGATTTTTTAAGTGAAAATCCATGTTTTGACCTTGTGTAAACTGTATTCCTCTTTCTCAACAATAGCAGTTTCCTGCTAAAAGAGATTAAGAAATTTTTATATTTTTTGCAAAGGTACACATCAGATAAACTGAAATAAGCTGCAGAAAAATAAAGGAAAACACCACGAGCCATTGCACCCAATTGAGGATAAGGAACTACGATTTGAAATTGAAGATGGTTTTGCCAAGAAACTTCTCCAGTACGTAGCTCTTTTCCGGGGAAACAAATGAGGCAAGACCTTCCCATGATGCAATGAATCACCATCATTCTTTGATAACTGTGCACCATGGAGTGTCCAGACCAAAGAGAACTTGGAAGGTTTACGGGTCTTTGTCAAGACTGCAAACGGATAGCCAACTTCAGTTTCTTTTATAATGAATATTGTCATGCCAGAATAAAATGATCAAAAACTCTATTCCAACAATATCTGCAAATTAATCCACTGAAGCAAATTATGACTTTAATCCACTATACTTAACTAGCAGAAACGCACCAATACATATGTTTAGAGGGGAAAATACAGAACTGCTACAGCTGAAATTAAAAATGAGAATGCAAGATACGGAAAGAATGTCTATGCTTAATCAACAGTTGCGTAGATAAGCAGAGGCCATTTAACAATTAATGTTAGCTAGAGCTGCTACAAAATGATGAAAAGCTATCCCAACATTTCCAAATTATACTCAGGGAGTAGGCTATGATTTTATCCACCGTGGGCTACAGTTGATCATAGCAACAATTGGTTGACTTGCAGAAAACAAATAAATTTTGCAAAACATTTGCTACAACTGACATTATAAAATAGGTATAAAAAAGTTGTGAAAAGAATGTCTATGCTTAATAAAAAGTACCATTCATAAGCACAGGCCATTCAACAATCATGTTTTAGCTAGGACTTCAATTTCCATATAATGTTTAAAGGATATTAGAATACTTGGGATCTTCAAACTATTCAATTTCTAGTATAAGATAACAACCCACATGTGTTTTGTTTTAGAGAGGTAAAAAAAAAAAAGAAGATGATTCCAAAACAGTTTTTGAAACTGAAGTTATTTGCTTGATATTATTTATGATGATCTCTGCACACTTCACACAAGCTGTAAGTGTAAATGCAATATAACTCTGCTATACAGTGTCTGAAGAAGCACAGCTACGTCTGCCCCACCTATGAAGCAACAGGATCCTGTCCTCAAGGATCCAAATGCAACCGACACCATCCTAAGAACCGAAGCAAGGAAAAGAAAAGCAAGCGATCACGAGATAACAATGCTCAAGGGCGATATTTTGGTTTGATGCACACCAGCACTACTGAGCTGAGAAATCCAGTGCCTGTAAAACCCAATGTGCTAGATAATGATGCTATTTCTTTCAAAGGAAGCATTGCTGATTATATCAGCCTTGATGTTATTGATGAAGTGGTAGAAAATACCATTCCAGCAGATGAGCACACAGCACTTGGTGATAGTGATCCTTTGGAATTGCAGTTAGGTGATCTTGATGAGCTAATTAAACCTGTCCGTATAATGAACATCTGACGCTAAGATCACTGGTAGGTCAAATGTGAAGCACCGAGTTTGTGCCATTTATGAAGTCAATTGTACGTAAGGTAGATCAGGTTTTAGCATATTCTGATTCCTTCATTGAGCAATAGAATGGTCGATGAAAGTAGGGAAATGATTTTGATGAGGTTACACTGATTTTGATGAGCTTCTAACCTTCTGTGCCTGTGCATGGGGTGTTTGTTAGTTTTCTATTCGGAACAGGAATAGCAATGGCAAATCCTTCTGTTTTCTCATCTTTTTAATTTCTTTTTTCGATTTATAGTTTATTTAGTTATAGGAATGCATTTTGTGGCTTCCGTTGTGCACATAATACAGTGTAATGATTCATTAATGAAATGATGCTGCCAAGCTTTTGAACTACAAAGAATGAGGTGGGGCGTGTTTGTCTTCCCAAGTTCTCTAATGCTGTTCTTTCCATGTTCTTTTGGTCCAACTTTACAACCGTTATCCCCATGAAGGTTGAAAGAGAAGTGCTGTGCTGTGCTTAAGAAGCTATGGCCCTGTGTGTAGACATGGCTCTAAAGTTGAACTTGCATGAGCTTGAATGTGTCGTGAATCTTTTTCAAATTCAATTGCCGGAAAGCAAGGGGAGCCCTCGCTGTTCCAAAAATTTCATGTTTGTATAGAGATTCTATTCTAGGTTCTTTTTTAGCACGTCTGAGTTGTAGGACCATTTTCAAAATTAACTTTAATGACGACTTTGAAAAACACATGAAATAATTTTAATGATATAAAATATTGAATATAAAATGCATTTATCATTCAAAATTCTCTTCTTTTATTTATGCATTTTTTTATTTTATTTGACAAAGCCATGAGTTATTATTTTTTTTTTATCAATAGCATGTATTTTTGAATAAAAAATTAAAGCAAATAAAATAGGAATCTATAAAAATTCTAATAATTTAAATTTAGAAGGAAAAGATGTATTTGTTTGAGCAAAACTCTCTTTTTGTTATTCATTTTATTTCCATGAAAAATGTATTTTTTTTTACTTATTACGAGTATGGTTTTTTATATAAAAACATATCATAATATGTGAATCAATTTTAACAAAGAAATAAAAAATAATATCTTGATTATTTTTATGTGATTGTATGAAAAATTAAAGAATAATTAATGGTACAAAACAATTTAAAAAATCAACAAGAAAAAATAAAAAAATATATTTTATTTTTATTGAATGTTCATGTCTATTTTTAAAAAAATATTATGCATATTATTTTCAAGTATAATTATTAAAAAAATTAAAAATATAACCATTGTTATATTGTAAGAAACAAAGGTGACATACATACATACATACATACATACATATATATATATATATTAGGATATTTTGTCTTGATATTTTTAATTTTTAATTTATTTTAACCTAAAAACACCTAAAACAAACACTAGAAACCTCAATAACCTATTTACAATCCCAAAAAACTCTTTAATCAATTTAAAAACTAACAATTGAATTAAATAAAAAAAATTCTTTCCTATCTTTGATTTTCTTTTTCTTTATCCAGCATGAGTAGAGATCCAAACCTCATAAATTAAATACCCCTCTTCAGAATAAATTCATCAATATCAAAATTGATATTTTTTATATTGTTGAAATGTAACCGACTAAATACTCTCTCTTTTTTCCCCCCTCAATAATCTTATCTTTCCTCTCTCAAAGGATTAAAACATAAAAAAATAAAATTTTATGACAAACTATCCTGGCTCTGCCTGACTGGAAGACCGATGGGAATTGGGAAGCCATCCCAGTTCTTCCGGCGGAGCCAAGTGCCGTGCGATATGCATGTTATTGGTAATAGTCTTTGAGAGACGGGCATTTTCAGGCCAGGAAAAAAAATAAGAACATACCAATTAAATTGTTTTGAACGTCCAAGAAAATGATGAAGATGGACAAGAGTGTTTCTGATTCATTGAAGTACAAGTACAGTTTAGGGGGCAAAAAAGTCTAGAAATAGAGGAAAATAAATAGAAATACAAGAGAGTGCTTGCTGCAGCTTAATTTGTGGCAGCCAATGTTCTGCTTTTCTTCACCACACAGACCTTGGTAGGTTCAATAATATAAGTCCTATCTTATCCAGAAAATAAATGGACTGGAAAGCAATTCTCAGAGAAGCTAGCAAACAAAGGGCTCATTGAGTTTGATTACTATTACCGAATGCAATAGTGGCATTGGAGTTAGCAATGGCAGCATCTTCCTCTTACATGGCTTGTGCAAAGTTCTCCATGCTGGGCTGGCTTGGAGGCAGCAGAGAACTGAAAATGAGACGCGTAACGTCCGTTTCAGCTCAGCAGCAAGCTGAAGTCCAAGAATCACAAGAAGTGAATGCGCGAGAAGAAGAGAAAGTGAAGCAACCAGTACAACCAAGACCAGTGGAACCACAAGTTAACGTAAAGAGCAAGAACATGGGCAGGGAATATGGAGGGCAGTGGCTCAGTAGCGTCACACGGCACGTGAGGATCTATGCTGCTTACATTGACCCAGAAACCTGTGAATTCGATCAAACTCAGACGGATAAGCTCACCCTTATCCTCGATCCTACAGATGAGTTCGTTTGGACAGACGAGACTTGCTACAAGGTTTACTCCTACTTCCAAGAGCTTGTGGATCACTACGAGGTAATTCTACCACAGTTATTTTTAAAAATATTTTTTATTTAAAAATATATTAAAATAATATTTTTATCAAAGTATATTCACACTGCAAAACCAAACGCCGAACGGGACTTAATCAAAGAGTATGCCAATCCAAGGTGGTACCTCTAGTGCTGTCACCATCTCTCTCTCTGTTTATCATCCCAACCGCATCAAAAAGCCATCCCAGACAACAGCAAGTTCAAATTTCTTTTCGGCTTCAACTTGAGGACTGAAATCACCTTATTTCACCTTGCAAATCATCTATGCCAACTGCGAACAGACCTCTAGTCCACAGCATTAACATGATCTCCATCCAACAGCACCAACACCGCTGAAGCATATTCATTGCATTTTGTTTTTTTACCACAAGCAACTCTGAAGCAAAGGATACTAGGGAACATAGGAACTACCCGCCATCTATGTCAATCTTAAAGGAAAATACTTTCTGTAAAGTTCAGTCTAGGGTGATCTAGTGGAACCCTGTTATGCCTTGCTGAACACTAACGTATGATGTGGAAACAGGGTGCCCCATTGACAGAATACACACTGCGACTGATTGGTTCGGATATAGAGCACTACATAAGGAAGCTGCTGTATGATGGAGAAATCAAATACAACATGAATGCAAGGGTCCTGAATTTCAGCATGGGGAAACCACGCATTCTATTTAACAACGATGGTCAGCTGCAGGATGTATAATCACAAGATACAGATAGGGTGGCCAGACAAATGTATGAAGTTGTGACTTGCTATGATTGAATACAGTTTCTTCCTCATGGCTTATCTCCACGAGCTAATCATGCATAAATGCCGAGAGGATAGTAACGAACAGAGGTGCACAAACTCAAATGCAGATGCCATGCATTTGTAGACTGAGAAAAACATTGCTGATGATAACATCAACAGCATGATGATCAAGATAAGATTTGCCAATAGCTTTAGTTTCAAATCTTCTAGACCCACCCCACAAGTCTACATCTGCCAAAGATCTCCATACTCCCTTTCGTTATAAGGCTTTTCAAGAATTTCTATTAGTTCCTCTCTAAATTTACCAGAAACTCCATTGTCCCTCCAATCCTCATCCCTCATTTGCCAATCATAAATAGAACATGGAAAGCATATTAATTTCAGCTGTTAGAATTATGATAACATGAATAATTTTGTAGCAGACAAAATGATACATAAAGAAAAGAAAGGATTGGAGCAGGAAAAGATGCATTGCCTCTAAAATGCATCCTTTTGAAATCACAAATGGAGTACATTTCCATCAAAAAATTGATTGGTGTCCGTGACAATCACCTCAGAATCAGATGAACTCTGTTCACCCTCTTCATATAAAACTCCTTTTCCAATTTTGAGGTGCAAATACCACATAACCACCATCTTTTATACAAGAATTCAAAAATAATTGCTTACTATGATTCACCATCTCACATTTGTGTTTGCAATTTGTTGAACTAGGAGCTTGTGGGCTAGGCTTTTTACTTGCATGCCCATTAGCTCCACATGGAACTGCATTCAAGGACAGCCTTTTGAATTCCCTTTCAACAGCCGAATTCCCCCTTTCTTTGGGTTTCCATCCTACAATTCTCCATATCCAAATGCATCTTGCGTTTGCGCTTGCAAGTATTCAAACCAATAGCTTCTTGACTATGCCATTTCCTTGCATGTACATTTGCTCTGCAAGAAACAGGATCCATAGATTCCTTTCTCGCCTTGCTTATAACTGCCGAAACCTTTCTTTCTGTGGATGGAACAGCCCCTGATTTTTCTTTGAGTTTCTGTTCTATGATTCACCATTGGCAATTTCACCTTGTGTTTGTGCTTGAAATTAGTCAAACCAAGAACTCCTGGACTAGGCCTTTTACTTGCACATTCAATTGCTCTGGAAGAGGTATGATCCACAGTTTCCACGTTCAAATTGCTTTCAACTGCCGAATCCTTTTTTCTTTGGATGGGACATCCCTCAATACTGTTTGGGCCACATCCAATTTCATCTCGTGTTTGCACTTACAATTAGTTGCGCCAAGAGCTCCTAGACTAGGCCTTGCAATCACGTCCATCAGCTCTGCCCGAAATAGGATTCACATATTGCTTTCAACCACTGAAACATTTCCTTTCCCTTGCTGGAACATCCCCCAATTTTCTCGGAGCTTCCAGTCTCTCACTTATCGGATCAATCTTCAACAATTTCCTAGTTCCTGTGTCCTTGCTCTTTGGACAGTCCCTCTAAGTGTTATGTTTCTGGTTTGCATGACAATCGCCTGTTAATGAGGATTTTCTTAAGCTTTGTTGATTATTTGTTTTGTTTCTAAATTTGAAAGTAGTATAAATCGAAGAACAATTAAGATCCGCCCATTTTATGTCTGTTTAGGTGATGGATACATGGCTTTCTTATGCACCAGTGAAGAACAACCCTGAGGATGCTGCCAAGGTAAAAAAAAAAGATTGTTGGTCATCATAAATTGTTCCTGTTCTCAATTTTGTGCAACTTAAAATAGGCTACTGGAGTTCCAAATGTGCTTAAAAGAGGTTATTGCTGGCCTTCCGGCTTCAGAGTCCATTCTGGGGATTGCGAACATCATTTGCTTACTTTATTTTTCTGTAGACAACTTTTAGCTGCCCAGTTTGGTGGTGGCATTAGGTTTGATTAAATTGTACTGCCTTAGTGCTTGGGAAGTGAGCTCAAAGATTCAACTCAGATTCTTGAGCATTAGTTTTTTTCATTTGTGGCCTTCGTACCTGATACCTAATTCTACTCAGTCTCACACCACCTATTCCAACTTGACTTCAAGCCAGAAGGTAAATTCTTGAGTGGTTCTGTAAATTTGCTGGACGTTGCTTTGATTGATATAGCTGACATATATACATATGCATACTGTCTTTGAGATGCCTTCAGTTAGCTACTTGATTGCTCCTATTCTCGAGCTTGGCTTACATTTAGGAGCCAGATATAGATACTCATCTCTCCTGCTATTTTCTATCGTTGCAAATCCTCTATCCAGACATGCAGACACATTATGAGGTCTTCAATGGGCAAGTGGTGGAAGTGTGGCCTCGTATAGTATGGAAGCCAAAATGGGGACTAACATTTGCCGAAATTAGAAGTAAAGTTAGTGGAAGTTGCTCCATTACTCAGAGATCTACCATGGCTATTAAGGGTCGGAATATCTTTGTTAAAGATCTCTCCTTGGATGGAGCTCTTGTGATTGACTCTATCGATGAAGCAGAGGTATGTTCACGGGTAAATGGGATGGTATAAAAGACTGCAAAATCCACACATTGACCCATAAATCATCTAAATTGTTGCTCTTTTCACCTTTTATTTCTTGAAAAATAAGAAAAAAGAAGCTCCTACAATGCTTGACTGGTGCGCAAACAATCACACTAAATATTGGGGTGCGGCAGAGACTGAGCATCTACAAAGATACTTCAGTACCTGAGGAAATACGGACCAGGGGCTTCAGAATAAAAAAGATTGAGCATTACAAATAACAGGTAATAGTTTTTGATATGTGAGATTATTACTTATTTTCATTCAGGATTAAGTTCCAAGTATAGTTTTTTCTTGTTAAAATGAAGGAACAAATAACAGTTAATATATTGGCTGAAAAATCTATCGATTGATCAATAAGCTTATAATTTTTTTATATTAAATTAAAATCATAATTTATAATATTTGTGATAATCTAACTATTGGATATTACTTTTATTTCTTTATATGAAAAAAAAACACTTATTAATTCCAATAAAATGTGTTTTATATTAGGTTTATCCTCTATATTGATAAAAATTCCTGTACATAAAAGAAGAATACTGTGTTATTTATTTTTTATTTGAAAAATGATGAAAAAAATGTAAAGGAAAGCTAAGAAAAACATAAAAAGAATATGCTCTCCAAACTCAATACAATTAAATTTTTTTATAAAAATAAAACTTTGATTGAGCTCAAATGGGTTCCGGGACTTCATCATAAAAATTAATTGGGTTGGTAAATTGTTGAGTTTTTTATCTGGTTAATCAATCTTATTTGGATTTAATGAGATGGCATGCCTGCATGCTGTCTTTGACTTATAAAATAAATATATTTGATAGTGTTATAATTATAAATTAGTACTAGATAAATAATAAAAACTAAAGATATGATAGAGTCAATATTTCATGATAAAAAATAATAATAAAATAGAGTTTTATATATATAAAATATCATACAAATAAACAAATAATTAGATAACAATTCAATGAAATTAGATAGCGCGATATATATATTCAATAACAGGGCAAGCAAATTATGTAACAGTGATTATAACATAGTTAATTACTTATATTTTTAAATTATTGATTACTCAATAATTTTTATAATTATAATTTCTTAAATTACTAATCTTTGTGGAAAAGGAGAATAGAGGCTCGAGCTTTAGGCTTCTTGAAGGAGGTAAATATGTGCTGAGTAATAATATTTTGATGGTGTCTGATAAAGAAACAAGGGATAAGGGATTTGGAACCTGTCTTGGATTGTTCGAAGCCACTACTGCTTTGCAATCCTGTTATTTACACTAACCAAATCCTTCAATTTTTTCAAGTTTTCGAAGCACTAGTGGTTCATGTAAATGCAGCGCTACAGTGATGTAACAAATTTCACTTTAGTCTTTGATGTTTTCGTTTTCTTACTTCTTAGTCCTTCAAATTTTGTTCTATTTCGATCCTCAAACTTTGTTTTCATCACTTTTCAGCCCTTGAATTTTAAGACTAGAGAAAGAAAGTGGCCTAAAAAAATAGTGAGAGGGGAGAAAATTTTGTCAAAACATTCTAGTTATACAAAACCTGATGTCAATGGACTAGTCTTGAAAATAAAAGTTTATTGGTGGCGGTTTTTGTCCATCAATTATTTTTGATAAATTAGAATTTGCAAAAAAAAATTAGATTTGGTTTGATTTTTTTTATTTTGGAGTTATTTTAAAGTGTTCAAACACTTTTAATGCTTTTTAGCTTCAAGAAAAAATTAATTGTTAAATAAAAAGTCAAAGTATATGTTTAACATGTAAATAAATATTTAAAAGAGTTATTTTCACTACTTAAAAACTAAATTGAAAAGCCGAGAAATAGATAATAATCCTATATCGCAAGGAGGCATTCAATTTTTTATTTATTTAAATATTTATTGATAAAAAAATTTGTAAGAAAACTAAGAATTTAAATTTCATCAAAATAAAATAATTCGTGTAATTCTTTCTTTTCTTATTATTCTACTTTCCTCCACAAAAATATAGTTTTTTTGTGCTATGTGTAGTTTGTAAACCTGAATATTTCAGGAAGTATTATAATAGACCTTGTTAAGAATGGTTACTAAGATGCGTCTCAAGAGTCACTTTAACAAAAGAACTCCTTTACTCTGCCATCCTAGTAACAACAATTATGCACATGCTTTATGAAATGAAAAACAATTTTTTTTTTATCAACTACTACCCTCTCCCCCCAACCAAAACGAGACATTGTCCTCAATGTTCTAAGGTAGAAAGATAGAGTATAGAAGATATCACCTGAAATAACGAACACTGACAAACCTGAAACACACTGAAACAAATATAAGAAACAACAAAACACAATAATAAAACCAAGCATGTGTATGTACAGGTAGTTGTGATTGTGGCTCACATCTTCCCTTGGTTTTACGTCCAAGAACGGCTTAAACGCCCTCTATGGGTCGGGGATAGGCTTCCCATCCAGTTTTCTTAAAAACTGGCAAACAGGGTCTTTTTTAGTCAGATTCCCAAGACTAAGTCTATCATGTTCTTTATGAAATAGTGGCCATAAATCATGAATTGCACGATGCACATCTCCACTAGGATGCGTCTCAAGAGTCAATAGAAGATTATCTAAAGACTCCTTACTCAGGCCATCCTTAATGAATTGTATTTTATCTTCACGGTTTATAGATACCATTCCTAAAGAACGACATTGTGTATTACAAGTCCATCTAGCACATCGATGACAGACATCCAGTCGTTTTGCACGACGCTTCTTTGCAAAAGTGCTTTTACCTGTTCCAGGCATGTGTGAAATGAAGTTAGAGGACTCACCTGATAATCGGACCTTTGCTTCAATCAACCAGCGAATATCTTCAGGAATTCCATGATTCATTAACAATCTCAATCTTGCACATCTAGCATGGTAAATTTTTGTAATCGCATTCTGAGGCAGAGCGGGAAAATACTTTTTCAATTTTTCAAGATTAGTGTCCATTTTCAAATGAGAATTGGAAGAGAGATTCAAAGAATTGCACAGATATATACACAGATATCAGTAATTGTGGGAAACTGAAAGAACCGACTTAAGTCACGGAGTACCGTTGTCCGCCATTTGACCGGGGTGAGAGAAACTAGCAAAAATCACTCAAAAAGAAACATAAAAAAGAAAATGTGAGAAAAACAAAATAATCAACCTTTATCTACAAGATCATTCAAACCAACTGATTCATTTTCACTAGGAAAATTATCAAAGTAAGCTTTCAAACGATGTCCATTTTCCTTAAAATCATTGTCATTCATTGAATTCTCAATATCACAGGCCCCATAAGGATTGATCCATCTTAATCTTAGCTCTTTAGGGAATGCATAGAGTTGAGAATCATAAAACAAAACTTTTTGACCAGTGTCAATTTTTTGACAATTTTCACAAGTTTTGCAGAATGCATGTGTGTCCTTGAACATGGTGGGCCAATAAAATCCATTTTGAAAGATTTTTGCAGCAGTATTTTTTGACGAGAAATAACTTCCACATGCTTCAAAATGACAAATGTAATCATGAATGCTTGACGAGATTTACAAGTATTAGCATTAATTGAATAAGATGACTAATTTAATCATGTTAAAAATATATAATCTGATTGGACCCTCCTTTGTGTGTGGTTTCCAATTCAATAATAAGAGTTTATACTATACTTGTTTGATATACCATTAGTGGAACCTCTAGCCTTGACATTTGTTATTATTATTGTTTAATCCTTACATTAATATTCCATCTCCAAGTTCTCATCATCTTCTTCTTCTTCTCTTTCTTTATTATTATTATTATTATTACTACTACTACTACTACTACTACTATTATTATTATTATTATTATTATTATTATTATTATTATTATTATTATTATTGTTATTATTGTTATTATTGTTATTGTTGTTATTGTTATTGTTATTGTTGTTGTAATATTGTTATTTATAATTTGTACAAATAACCTCCATGTGGTTCGACCCCGGTCTTGCCGGGTTATTTATTACTTCGACACTCCTATACTTGGGAGAAGACATCAACCTTTTAGTCGTGTCAAGTTTTTGGCGCCGTTGCCGGGAAGGTAAATTCTTGTATAAATTATAATATTTTTTTTTCTCTTCTCACTTTCCTTGTATATAACTTTGTTTCTTTTCTTTTGTTTCTTTTTATTTTGTTTTCTTTCTTCTTTTATTTTCTTCTTCCTTTTATTTTATTCCTACACGTGCATGAGAGTGTGGTCACGTACATTAAGTGGTAGACTTTGTAGGGTATCCTCATCATTTTCAGAAAATATGGCTGAAGAAGATAATCAATCACTTCATAATGAAAATAATGAGAATAACCGTGCTAGAACGCTTAGAGACCACATGAATCCCACAAGAACAAGTGCACCATCATGCATAGTTTTTCCTCCCGATGCATCTCATTTTAATTTTAAACCAAGTATTATTCAACTTTTACCTTCTTTTCATGGTTTGGAATTGGAAAATCCATACTTGCATTTAAGGGAATTTGAGGAGGTCTGCAACACATATAATAATTTAAATTATAGCATGAACACCATCAGATTAAAGCTTTTTCCTTTTTCATTAAAAGATAAAGCTAAAACATGGCTACAAAATTTGAGACCAGGATCCATTCGTGCTTGGGATGAAATGCAACAACAGTTTTTAAAAAAGTTTTTCCCATCTCATAGAACAAACTCTTTCAAGAGACAAATCACCACTTTCACTCAAAAACCAGGAGAAACATTTTACAAATGTTGGGATAGGTATCGAGACTTGCTTAGTACTTGCCCTCATCATGGTTTTGAAATATGGAGATTGGTTTCACATTTCTATGAAGGGTTAACACCTAAAGATAGGCAAATGGTTAAACTGATGTGCAATGGAACTTTTGAAGATAAAGACCCTGATGAAGCAATGGAGTACTTAGACTTGTTAGCTGAAAATGCTCAAAATTGGGACACCGCGGGTACTTATGAGGCACCGAGTAAAACTCAACCTCATACATCTAGTGGAGGTATGTATAACCTTAGGGAAGATCATGACCTTCAAGCCAAGTTTGCATCTTTAGCTAGAAAAGTCGAGGCACTAGAATTAAAAAAGAGTGGTCAATTAAAATCTGTTGAAAACATTGTGTGTCAAATCTGTGAAACAAATGAACACTCAACCAACGATTGTCCAACCTTGCCTTCTTTTAAAGAATGTCTCCATGAACAAGCCCATGCTTTAAAC